ACCTGTTGTAGTGGAAGGTGTCCGTTCCCATGGCGGGGGGTTGGAACTGGATGAGCTTTAAGGTCCCTTCCAACCCAAACCAGTCTGGGATTCTATGATAGACTTCTGGGGCTGACAATCTCCTGACAAAGCAGGTAAAAACAGCAGGATCATTTACCTCTGGTCCCCTCAGAGCCCAAATCTGGGAAGGTACATGGCAGAGTTTATTTCATTATATTAACCCTGTAATGCCATAGGTTAGGGATCCTCTGGACAACGACATGGTTGATATAGCTGAACTGAACACTCGCCAGTAAGCCCCAACAACCCCTTTTCTTTAAAGTAGGGAAGCACAGGTCTTACAAACAACATCTTGAAACAAGGTTTGTTCATCACTAGTGGACTCAGCATCGGAGATACAATGAATTAAGAGCAGCATATTTAATTCCCATGTTACTTTCAGCCCAGGTTTTACTTGTGCATCGATTATATATTTATAATCAATGCAGTCTTTTCCTTTCTCATTTCAGTTGTCCAAGACGTATCCCTGGCCAGAGGTTACTGCCCAGAGCCAGCACAAAGGCTCTCTGAGTCAGTGAGAGGAGTCCAGTGACACTCAACAGGTTTTTAGTCTGGACTCTCAGTTATCTTCCTGTGTCAGCAGCTCCAAACTCCAGCATCAAACTCAGCTACAGTTCTCACTCCTTGTTCTTGAAGGAGCACCAAAAGGAGCAAGTAAGATGCAGCAGGAGCTGATTCAAAAGGCCACGTACTTGAGCAAATACAACTCCCGTGTTACGTCTGCTCCCCCACCATATTACATCTCATTAGACCAGAGGCAATTACACTGCTTTAAAAATTACTCTTAAAAGCACTAAAGGCTTTTTACTAGTTCTCAAGTACTTTTCCCGAACCTATCCAGGTCTGAAAAACAAAGTCAACTTTGAATTGAATCCAACAGACAATCAAGTACCAAATGTCAAAGCAATTTTACCAATCAGAGCAATATGGGTGATACGGCTGGAAAAATAAAAGTAGGTTCGACTATCTGTTTACAAATTCAAAGTTTCATCTCCAATGCTTTCTGATCTACTGCAGGTTTTGGAGGCCAGAGACCAGCTTTGGGTATCAGTACAAATTCTGCAGCAAAATTAGGCTGTGGCTGGATATTTTCTCCAATGCAAACACCTTCCATCACTCTCAGGTACAGGTTAACTTTAATAACATTGCATTCACAAACCACTCCCAACAGCCTTCCAAATACATAACCTATTACCATAACCCTAAACAAAAAGGAGTAATGCATTTATACAAATTCATGCATTTCTCTAAGGAAGCAATGTTACAACCCCCTTGAAAAAAACCAGGAAGAATCCAAGGGATTCATTTTGTTGATTTTTTTCTCTTTTTGCTTTGTTTTCATTCTTACAGGGGAAAAAACAGTAAGTAAAAAGCACAGAACTTCTTTAACTCGGTAGGTGCATTTCAAGTGAAATCCTTGTTCTGATGACACTCGACCTCTATAGGAGAAGGGACAGGTCTATCTACTAACTGCAGTGCTATTCCCTCTCTGTGCAACTTACTCGTTGCCCAAGCGTCACTTCCCATTAGGCACCTGAACTCTGCTGAGAGACACTGACACTACACCAGCCCAAAATGGTGACATTTACAGGTAAACTCTGCAGCCCTCAATGCCTCATTCTGTGCGTAACACCAACTGCACCTTTCCTCACACTACCATGAAGAAGGTTCAGGATTTTCAGAGGTGCCCAGAAGTACCCCTCACTGGCTTGCTCTTCCAATTTCACATCTTTGACATTCACTGTAGTATCATTGGGAAATGCTCATCCAAAGATGAACAAGATGATGACTCCTCTTCTGAGGGCAAGGATGTAGGGGATTGAGATATAATGAAGGAATCTGTAGTACCAACATCCACAAAATTCTCTGATTAACTGAATAGAGATGCTGCAGCCGAGTCAGGAACTTAAAGACTTCTTTTTCATTTTTTTCCTCACTAAAACTTCTCCTATGATCTGCCCTCATTCACGCTTTCAGAACCATCCCCATTACTTTTCACAGGAATTGTCATAAAATATCCCAAATACACAGCCAAACAGAGGCATGTGTGGATTTATGTTGGGAGCAGACTGAAGAAACACACTTAGATGGATCAGGCCTGTTTAAGTCCACCTGACAGAGATGTCTATACACATTTATCACGTCCTGTGACAGCACAGCTCATTCCATAACTGTATTTATCTATTGCTGCCTGTTGCTGTAAAGAAAATCAGGTCTGAATCACGACTCTGAGCAGCAATCCTGTCCCTGTGTAGACTTCTGCACCTGGCAGATGTTTTGTGTTGTCTTCCTTTCATATACTCTGCAGCCGGCAAAACAATCTGCTAAAAAGGGCCTTCCTAAACACATTATGAAGAATCTGTACAAACCCCAGTCAATAAACAAATAAAAAAGGATACTGTTGCAAGCCAAGAAACAATATAACAACTAGACAAATAATGGTAAGAGAAATAAATCAGAGAGCTGAAATGATCCTGACAAATTGTGGATTTTGTGTCTCAATGAAATTAAAATTGCTCCAAGCATTTAATTACTTGTAGGGCCCAAGTCATAGGATTCAATAAGAACCTTCCTTCACATTAGAATGTTACTGTCAGTAGTTAATGCAGTTGCAAAAAATGGTTGTAACCTTCTCCTCAAAACAGTATCTCAGAATTACTTTAGTCCAAATTTTTCTTATGTTCCAGTAACCTCATTCTCCTGCAATACTCTTACACATTTACTCTGCCTGCAACAAAATGCAGACTTAAGAAGAAATAACTGCTATCAGCACCCTATCCATTAAGTGCCACAATTCCAAAAGGTATCTGCTGATCCTCTCACTGAACACAAAAGATATTTTTATACTAATTTTGGTTTAAGACAACACAAAAGTAATGGTTCGTTTTCCTTATTCCTAAAGACTGTTTTGAAGGTCCCAATTTCAGGCTGACTTTCCTCATCAAGCACTAAGTCAGCAAAAGCCCAAGTCTTCAGCACACTGTGAGATCAAGTCCTAAGGCAAGAGAGATCCCAGGGAAGAGAGATTCTGGGTTTGCTACTTTTTATTCCTTGAAATCCTGACAATCTGCACCTTGCAGGCTTCTCAACTTTTAGAAGGAAAAAAAGTGCAGTGACAGATAGAACACCCTTCAGAAAAGAAATAGCACCAGCTCTAGACATGCAGAAAGAAGCTTCCAGGTTTCTCAGAAGCCTCCAAGTGGGGCAGCAGGTAGAAAAACAATAAAGAGTGAACTCCTTCATTATGCAAAATAGAATTAAAATGCCTTTGACACATCTACCTCTTCTTCAAGTTTTCAGGTACGCTGAGTGAAGCAGTTCACAACAGAACAGGTAACACCAATCTATCTCGCTCCAATGCAATCTGAGTTAAACATAACATCAGCTGGTGCCTAAACCACAGAGATGCATTTAATACTCCCAAGCTGGCAATCAGCCTTTTCCACATGTGTTCATACTCACAATGAATTGTTTCGTTTGAATGCTTTGCTTTCCTTCTCTTCTCCCATGGCAGTTCACTGTGCTTTTTCAGTTGGATATTTTAAAAAACAATAAAGCTAGTAACCACTCTCCTTTTCCAATTTTATTCCTGTGTGTAAGTAGGGAACATTTTTCAAAGAAATATAAATTACTGAACACATTTTCTTACCTGTTGCAGTCCACGTGGAGCAGAAGGTGGGATGCACTCAGTGACAGAGCAATCTTATGCCACTGTCCATCTGCCAGACGGTATGGGAACACCTCTGTTCTGGACTTCCCATTAAACCTGTAGTGATATCTAATCTCATCCCGCAGGCCACTGCTCTCCAGTTCAAAATAGCTATATTGAAAACAAAATCAAGAGTCAGTTCTGGTTTTGGTTCATTCATTGCTTCTCTCACTTTCTTCTTAATCCATAGACTTTTCTAAGCAAACATTACATGGAAGGTCACAATCTAAAGAGGTTACTCAGCATGGAGTAGCTAGTTGGTTCATTTTTTAAGAGACAGAGAGACAAGACTACACATTCTATTCTATGATTCAGTGCATTACAAAAACAGCAGTACCATTTGTGCAAAAACAGCTTCAAAACACCATTTGGTAGTCCTGGAAATTGAAGTCCTCTTTTTATCCACAGCACAGGTTCATACTACAAAAAGTAACCCTGGTTCTTCCACCAGAATGTTTTGTATGAATGCAGGATTTGTAGGAAATGCAAAACTAAAGAACTGTGCACATCATTACCAAGGAACAAATAAAAAGCCATTATGGTAAGAAACCACCAGGTCATCATTACATTTGTATTTACTATTTGCAAATCCACTTCTTTAAAACTGCTTACTTTTTAGCACTCCCATACATGCAATTGTGCTTTAACTCATTTTTTGACTTTTATTGTTACAGCTGCAATTTTTCAGCTTTCCAAGGGGACAAAAGCTCCTGGCTGGATTAGGTGTCTCAACAACCAAACCATGAAACCCTTCAGGCAGTTGTCACAGTCATAGCAGAGCTCCAACGACTGCTAGTAACTGGATCCATGCCAGCGAGAAGAGCCACTTCCTGGGTGAATTCAATCCTTCCACGTGGTAGAACATTGACAGTGTAAATAGTGAAGCCTTCTCTTGGACTTCAGAGCACACACGGTATTTACAGCGTATCAAATCAAGGCACTCTTTTTCCTGCCCAAATGAAGCCCTGGATATAGAAGGAAGGAGATGCAGACCTTCTTTTGAGCAGAAATAACTTTACAACTAAGTGCAGATGCTAAGTTGTCGAGCTGGTCCCTACCCCCATATACCTCCACAATACCTCTACAGCATCCTGTTTTTCACCACTGGACAACACCAATTTAACATGGCACTTGAAACATTGAAAGATGGGTGAGAGTTTAGCCAGGGGGAAAAAAGAGGGGAATGGCAGTAATTAAATCCAATTCCAAAAGACGGAAGTGGATTTCAAAATACTAAGTGTCCAGGTGAGCGTTTTCATTTTAGCACAAGTCTTTTATTCTGCTTGGCTGTACACAGACTTCAATAGCCAATGCGCACAACCGTTAACAGAGGCCTATGCACTTCATCAAGAACAGCTTTTACCAGTGAAGTGGAGGCTTTTTAGAATGAAAGTGAAATACAGAGTTCTTTGAGAGGAACTTACTTACAAGATAAAACACTAGCTGGGAAGACCTGCAAAAGATCACAACAGACTGGGAAGGGGAATACCAAGACAATAAACCTTGAGCAAAAGAGGAACTCAAGCCCTCCTCCAGCCTACCAGTGCCTTGCCATTGCATTTTCCCTGCCAGTGCCTTGCCATTGCATTTTTCATGCAAGGTCTGAGCATTATCAGGTCACCCAAATCAAAGACTCAAGCGGCAAAGTAAAAAACACACGCAGATAAAGGCAAAACCAAAACTGAACGAAAACACAGCAGGCATAGGAACAAATAAATAAGGTTTTCCACTCCAGCAGAGTGGAAAACATAAGAAAGGCTGGTGCTGTGAAGGAACTGGCCTGTGTCATGCACATAAAGGCATAGGGAGGGCAGAGAAACGAGTTTTCTAAACAGTAGAGCAGAATGTTGATTACTTACCACCGCCACCACCCCCCATTAAAGTAACTATATTACATTCATAAGAAAACTGGAAAGGATTATTTTTATTATTTTATTTTTATAATAATGTTTTAT